ACACACACACACACACACACACACACACACACACACACACACACACTTCGACAAACATGTATAAATTGGCAATCAATCGGAAAATTGATTATCATTTTATCAACTACCAAACTTGAAAAAAAAGATATTAACACTGATGAAAAAAAAAAATGCTTAAATTTTAAAAGGGAAAAAGAAAAAGAACCAGTCCTCTTTCTTCGGAATAGTTTTTCTTATAATAAAATGGTTATAATTAAATTCATTTCGAAGCAACGAATTTAATACCTCATCACATTTCAATGCTTCTACTTTTCTTCCTTCTTTCCTTTCGAATCAACCATTATTAAATCTTCCTTTAAATTCAAAATTAAAGTGGAAAAAATTCTAATTTTAAATTATTTAAAATATCGTCCAAAAAAAGAATTATTGATGCAAGTATAAAGTATCGTGAATTATCATCAGTATAGTATAGTTGTGATGAAAAAATAATAATTTTGATTCAATTATATTCGATTTTAAATTAAGCATGCCTTTATCATTTGTCAAAAAAAAAAAAAAAGAATTGCTTAATGTTCTAATTCCCTCCTAATAGATTATTTTATCATCCAAAGATCAAAAAATAAATAAAAAACTAACAAATGTATAGAAATTTTCCATGTTTGAAAATATGAAATTAGATTACTTAATTTGTTAAAAACTTAATCCAATTTTGTTTTAGGTCCATCTAAAGAAAATTTACAGATAAAATTTCCAAGCTATAAATCAGAAGGTGTAAAATTTACAGCGGAAAAAAATTCTCTTGGTCATGAATGTTTCCGGATGAGTGGCGGTGAAGTTGAGGTTTTAATTTAACTTTTCTCATGCAATTTCTTTTTATTTTATTTCATTTCATTTTTCTATTTTTTTTTTTGAAATCTTTTTTGATTTTTTTGAAACTATTTATCAATAGCTTTATAAATTTTTTAAAAAAAGTTATTATTATTCCAAAAATAATTTTAAAAACTCAGATTGCCTTTGCTTTCATTGTTATTGTTATTGTTGTTGTTGTTATTGTTATTGTTGTTGCTATTGTTGTTGCTATTGTTGTTGTTGTTTTTGTTATTGCTATGAATGAACATATATATATTGAAGTAGGAAAGCAAATAAAATTGTTATGAAAACAAGAGAAAAAAATGGAAAGTTCTATTTTTTTTCTTTTTTAATTGCGAAATTTTTGATAAACAGGTTAATGTTATTAATCATTAATATTTTGGAATGTTTAAAAAAAAAGAAAGAAAAAGAATTCATTCATTATTTTCGGTTAATTTTGAAGTCTTTGCAAATTAAATTGAAGAAAATGGTTTCAACACAACTTTTTCTCATTTACTTAAAAACTGAAAAATGAAATTGAAATTCAATATTCCTACTAGTGAAATGATTTTTGAATTATTTTTAATAATTATAAGCTATAAAGTTAACATGCGAAATTGGAAATCTACCTAGAATTAATTTATTAAACACAATGAAGCATGACCACATAAACGTACGTTATAATTACAGGTGTATCCACCAGGTCTTAATGGTAGTGCTAAATACTACATACATTTGGAGACTAAAATTGGTATCCACGGTAAAGCTGAACGATGCATTAACGCAGATCGTTATGGTTGTGGCGGTGTAGGCTCATGGTTTGTTCAAATTCCTATTCTAATTAATTAATTAATTAATCACTAAACATTTAATATAATAAAAATGAAAGGTATGAAATTGTTAAATTGTCAAAGATTCTATTATATAAATAACATTAAAAATATTTGTGATTTTAACTAATAAAATTAAATGATAGCATTTGAAATTGAAAAAGAAAAAACCTTCAAAAAAAATTCTTTGTTCCATTATCATTTCTTTATCAATTAATACTTTCCATTATTATTTTACTGATAATTTTACTTTTCTCCTTACTTGCTCTTTTTTTTTTTTGCAGTGTTTATTGTGATATTTGCAAAAGTATGGGTGGCGCATTTAAAAATTTTGTACAAATCCTCGAAAAAGATGAAGTGGCAAAATGTGATGAAAATGGAATACCACCTGGTAAATATAAGAATTTATCATTACGTGTATGTTTACCAACCAAAGATGAATTACTTCCATTCTTAGATCAGGTAATTAAACATCTTATCATCTTATCATTTATGTTATTAACCATTAACTTAACTAATTTGTTTACATTATTTAATTTATTATCATTGCAATAATTGGCTTATTTACATTCAAATGATAAATCATGGAAAGCTTTATTGTTATTTTTTCCTTTCCACATATATAAAAAAAAATATATATATTATGTATACATTACTTGATAATACATTATATTAATTGATTGTATTTGTATTCAATTATTAATCATAGAAGAGAAGCATTGTTGGTAAATTACCAATTAGCGCAATGATGTTTGCATCGGGAAAAAAAAAACTGATATAATATATATTACAATAAAATGGTGCAATTATCTATGCATAAACATGGATCAAATATAAGAGGAAGAAGAAAATATTAGTCGTTGAAGCATTAAAAAAATACTAAAGAAGGCTGATCATTAATAATAATTAATTTACCTACTTTAGCTATACTTGGCTTAAACTTCATTATTACTATTACTATTATTGTCACTATTACTATTATTATCATTATTATTATTATTATTATTATTATTATTATTATTATTATTATTATTATTATTATTATTATTATTATTATTATTATTATTATTATTATTATTATTATTATTATTATTATTATTATTATTATTATTATTATTATTATTATTATTA